GCTACTCAAGGACTATTACTAATAGTCCTCTAGTAGCGTAGCCAATTAAAATGCAGGATTTGCATTATTCCACGAGTTGGGTGATACTAAAAAAAAAACATAGTGCGCAGAAATTTGTAAAACTGGGATCATCAAGAGGACAAAGTCTGCTCATAGCATGATGTTCAGTCAGTCAATGCATTAATTAAGAATATTCTATCTAACTGTAAAACGACATCGCTGAACAATTTTAAGGAGTCCGAGACCACTCTCAGAAGTAAAAAGCCCTTGAAGTGTCCGCTCAGTTTCGTGCCACAAAATGGCTTAATAATGGTGTCCGCGTCCGCTTGGTAAGTGTGCTGTTTTACAGTAAATGTGGGACTCAACTGATGTCCGCTTAAAAGGGGGTCCGCGTAATACAGGTTTCACTGTATCTACGCGTGACGTCAAGTAGCGAACAAAACTCTAGGGAGCTTTCTATTCAACCAAAACTTGCTGAAATTTTGGAATGGGAGTGAAAGGTTCCAAAGTTTCTTGGAAGACATTTTCTAAAATTTAGGAATACCTCGCGAAACTTTGGAAACATTTCCATGTGGGCAAAGACTTTCCATTCAGCAATGCAAATTTCCCAAAATTCAAATGGGAACTTTTGGTCGAATGGATATCCATCGATTGGACACCTCGGGATGGAAAGCGACCCCAAGTGTTCAAAATGGCAGAGAAGAACTTCAGACAGGATCGTGGGAAAAGAAGTAGACATAAATTGGCCAGAAACTAGAAAAATCGTCTTAGAATAGCTTATTTATTACTTCCTGGCTGCGAGGATCCCTACTGACCCCTGATTTTGACATATTACATATTGGCTCGCTGCGTGCCATCGAATATATACCGTACACGGACGCTTATAAGCCCTGGGTTTATACAACTTCGCAAGGGCTTTTAGATGGGCTTATAAACGGAAGGGGTTATATCCGAGGGGGCTTATAACCGGAATAAAAAAAACCGTTTCGAAATGAGCTATAGCTACACATGTTGATCGAAATAGGTTTTTCATTTACTGGTTTCTAATTAAGCTTTAAAACATCATAATGAAACGAATTCAAAACAACGAAAAGCTAGAGGGGGGCTTATATCCGGGGGAATTGTATGCGGATGTATTTTTGGTTTACAGGTAGATGGTCCTAGATGGGCCCATAACCGGGAGTGGGGCTTATAAGCGACAGTTTGTGGTATAACTTATACAAAAACATATTGATAGTTAATAAAAAGGCTTTTCCATGGCTATAATGAAAGATGCTTTTTTTTGACGATCTCCACGGTTCACAATCGTCGAAACCTGAGAGAAACGTCTGGGTTTTAGTTCATGTTCGTCAACAGCAATCTCCTCATCTTGAACCTGGTCTAATTCCATTTCCATATCATGATCGGCGTATTCCTCTGATTTTCGTTTAACACAAATTAGGAAAAATGGAATGATGGACGCAATGATTCCAAATCCACCCGCTATTAAAAACGCGCCGATGTAGTTACCGAACTTGTCAGCCATAAACCCTGAAAGGACAACAACAAGAATGCAAGATCAAAATTTCAACCCTAGCTAACTCTGGCAAGGAGGACATGACATTGAAAGCAATGGAAGGGATACTATCATGAGGCGCGGTGACCTCATGGTTAGTGAGCTCGCCTCCGGATCGAGCGGTCCGGGTTCGAGTCCTGGCCGGGGAAATTGTATGGTGTTCTTGGGCAAGACACTTTACTCTCACAGTGCCTCTCTCCACCCACGTGTATAAATGGGCACCGGCGAATTTAATGCTGGGGGTAACTCTGTGATGGAGTTGCATCCATGCAGGAGGGGAGTAGAAATACTCCTAGTCGCTTCATGCTACTGAAACCGGACTATGAGCGCCGCCCCTATTCGCCACTTGGCTCGTATAAAGACTTTGGTCCTCTTACTCACGTATTTTGGCAGCTTAAGCGACAAAATTTCATGACATATGACGTACCAGTCGTAAAAGGGTTCCCAATTTTACCTGAAGTAATCCTCAGTTTTCAAGCCCAAGGGCGAATTTTTGTTTGATCGTCGACCCAGAAATCTCAAAATAACCTAAATGCAAGTCAAATAACATTTTGGTTCAGGTTTTCCAAAGTATTTTAATGCTTAATAAATGACAAAAATTAGCATTTTGCATTTCTCTTCCGATTCCCCTCCTCTTAGGACTCCAGCTTTCCTCCCTTTCCTCTCCCACCTCCCGCCTCCCGCCTCCCGCCCCCTATTCTCCCGGGCTACCGCCCCACTGTTCCCCACATATATACTATAAGTGCTACTGTTAAATCGTATCACACTTACCAAATAAAGGTGGAGCGCTCAAAAGAAAGCCTGCACCACCCAAAATGATAAATCCAACTATTGAGGCTTTTTTCGATTCCTCGTCAACAACCTCCATGCATTCGACCATAAAAGTTGACACCAACATCCCGTCCGCCATACTGAACACGATGGCATAAACCGCCCATGCAGCATAGGTTTGTGCCAGGCTTAGTAGCATTGTTGAAGCTCCCATGATGAAGGTGGCCGCTTGAAAGAGACGAATTGTGTTTATGTACTTCACATCACACAGAAAACCTCCTCCAAGACGACCTAATGCACCAGATATACCAATGAACAGGAAAAGAGTTGAACTTTTGCCAGCTGGAACACCCAGATCATTGCAATATTTTATCTGAAAATATAACAGTGTGTCAACTGAAGGCGTTAGACTGCAGTTTAGTAGTCTAACATGACATTATAGGACGTTATGTGCATAGCCGTTGCATAATCCACGCAACACATGTAGCCCTGGGTCCGTTCCTTTGGGGTGATCAGGATCAGAATTCCACGGATTCCCTGACCAGCGGAATGGATTCATCGGTTCCTTTGATGTGCCATGATCTGAACGATCTTCCATCACTGATCCTGATCCTGATCCAGATGACCCTATGGAACGCAGCCATAGACATGTCAACTGTCAACTAAATCAACACAAATACAAACCTGACTAAGCAGGTGATGGGATGTAAGCTGTATACAACAAATCCAGGGACCCACCCCCCCCTTAAAAAAGTGACAGGAGGGCTAAGTACCCCCGCTGGGCAACATGGACATGATTGCGTTCGTCAGTTACCTACGTGTTACCCTCTACATGCGCAGCTTGAAACGATGTTGAACACGTTTTATGTATTTCTTGTCCTTTGGTTTCTAAAATCAACTCAGTTGAAGCAGTACAAGAGATGATTGCCATCATATTCTCTTGTCGCCATGCAAAGGAGTACCACAACAGCCACGGGGATAGAAGGACTACCTTCTGCATTAGTGCAATATAGCCTTAGAGTGAGGAGGTAAGTAATCTTGGCAGAACATATCGCTCTGTATAGTACTCACCAGATGCACGTGTGGTACTATGCGAGAAGTTGTGAAGAATGGTATTGTTGACAGCAAGATAAAAATGGTAGGCTCCTTTAGCAACGACAGATTTAATCTGAATTTCTTGCGAGGAGCATTAAGATGTTCATTGGATGTTGTCCTTTCACGAAGTAAACATCCGCTGAGAGATGTCACGGCCAAAATTCCAGCAAAAACACGGAAGGTTTTCCTCCAACCAAAAACGTCCACTAGCGCTTGAAAAGTAGGGCCTAGAATCATTTGCCCAAGTCCTTGACCAGTGGTTACGAACCCAAGAGCGAGCGATCTTCTTTTGGTGAAGTAATGTGTAACAATAATCGTCGAAGTAACATAAACAAGCGACACTCCCACAGCAAAGGGTAAACTGAAGGCTATGTAGAGGATGATGATGCTGGGGGCAAAAGAACCAGCTGCCATGCCTACTGAACATAACACGCATCCTAATATGGTAGTAATTCGCAGCCCGAATCTATTAAGGAAGCCGCTCGTTATGGGACCAAGAGAAGTAGCCACACCCATAGCAATGGATGACACCCACGCTGCAACACAAATGGAATAATTTGTGTTAATTCTCAGAACGCTAGAGTACGTAAAACTCATCATCTCTCTTCGCCAAGTTAACCCAGAAACTTATCATGGTTCCATATGGAACTGGGACGGGAATGGAGCTTTGTAGCCCCCAAATGTTAGGTAAAAGCTCCTATGAAACTGTAAGCTCGCATTGAAAAACTGCGGTATTCTACCTAATACATCAAACACGAAAGACTGTGTTTGGAGAGATGTCCAAACACCGCGAAGAAAGTTGACAATACGACGCGTAGCGGAGTATTTTTGACGGACGTCGAGGTGTTTTGAAATTTGGTCAAATACGGTCTTGAGGAAACGGAGAAATAAAATCGTAAAAATGTATACCAATTAAGATCAGAAATCCAAACACCGTCACGATTAGGAGTTGACATACTATGCTCCTAAAATTGAGTATAATAATAATAATAATAATAATAATAATAATAATAATAATAATAATAATAATAATAATAATAAAAGAGCTTTATGAAAATCTCCTCAGAAAACCTATTTACAAATCTTCACACATTCCACTATCGTAGACTAAAATTTTGATGAAAATAAAAATATAATGAGATCCTAAAATACTAATTCACAAGCTCATGCCATCATCGACTTTCTAAAATTAGTGGACACAGGCCCGGTTAGCATTTAAACTGCAGACTCTCATTATCATCACAATATGATGATGATGATGATGGTGATGATGATGATGATGATCATGATGATGATGATAATAATAATAGTAATGACAAGAGCAAACACACTATTCATATAATAATAATAATAATGATAATAGTAATAATAATAATGATAATAGTAATAGTAATGCTAATAGTAAGAAATTACAAAACCTTAGAATAACTTAAAAATTGGTCAATTTACATGTTACATAACCTGAGACAAGAGAAAATTTTGCTTGCCTGACAATAATTTTAAAATTAGTCTGTGTTTCATAAAAATACTCAACACTCATGCTGATGGACTAAAATCAACAGCAAAGTCGCGAGGGTAATGAGAGGACGAGAGTCTTCGCTGTAATCTCGCGTGCTCTACAATAAAATCGCTAGCTTCACAGCTGATAAAAACAAATCATAAAATGAACTACAGTGAAGTAAGATTAATTTTCTATTGCCCGTTAAACATATTTGAGGAATTTTTATTTTACAGTCACTCTATTCTCTCATTTGTACAAAATAAATGTATTATCCATGCCCTGACTGACTGAGGTTATTTTAATAATGATATTATTATAGCCAATACACTGAAATATCTGGTGCTTTTTAAGGGTGAACTTTAGATTTTTCGATTGCGCTTGATTTAGTCTGTGTAGCGAGCGTAACCGTACGAAAAGCTTTTTCGGCATTCAGGCCGCACAAAAAAAAAGGAGCGAGAGCAAAAAAATCGACGAAGTAGGGGTTGGTCGAAGTTACCCCTGCCTGCGAACAAAAACCGTAAATACGTAGTCTTGACTTCCTTTGTTCAAACTTGATGAATGATTCTGCAAACTTATTAACTTTAATACCTTGGCAAGTTTTCTCGCACGCGTATTAAACGCGACCCGAGACAATTTGCTCAAACGTCAGCTGCTTTCAGCTATTCACTAGCTGGCGTTACTGATATGAACGACACGTCTGACTGCATCGCACGCTAACTCGCTAAAACCCACAATCGACTCACAAACATCCGCACTCAAAATATCACTTTGTACAAGGTCTTCCGAAGACTTCATACTTGACTTCAGAACGTTTCCGTCTTGACCACGCTGATGGGCCATGTTTGCTTTAAAATCACTGATTGTCTTCAGAATTGGCGTGACTATTTGTTGAGCCTTGTATGGCAGGAGACATTCATGTTTATCCCAAATGGTCCTTCATATTTTAGACTACAAGTAGCTTGGTCCGTCGTTGCGTGACATACGGTCTCGCTCGACGGACTAAGCGAAAGAGGGACTATTCGTAGTCTATATTCATATTTATGCAGGATTTACTTTCCGTGAAAAATCTAATGCAAACTAAAACACACAGCATAGTGTACAGTTAAATAGTATACGCAGCAGCGTCTACAGTTGAGGCTGCCGTGAAAGAGAAATCAAAACGAGGTCATAATAGAAACGAGTACTGAATTTTGAATATAATATTTATAGTGATCATCAGCTGATTCGATTCAAGTAACATAGCCATGGAAACTAACTTAAAAGTTAT